ACCCACTCACTTCACTCACAACGTTGCTCTGAATAAATTATTTGATTGGCTGAGTAACGAGGCACACTTCAAATAGAAATGGTCCGTCAAAATCTACTTACAGGTCCAGGTCCGTATAGAACAGTGTCAGGGTCCAGCTCTGTACCGTGTTCTGCCTATTGGTGAGTTATGTTCTAAGTGTTCTGACTTTGAATTAGATGCTGCTGCCCATACACAGATTGAGTGAACAGCCAATAGTATTATTCTGTTCTGTGTTTTATTTATTTCTTCTCTATTCACAATGTATTCATCTTCATTTCTGAAAGTGTATGGTGGCAGGAGCTGTCCCATTTGAAACCCTTCTACATGCATATCAATATCTTTTATGAAGCTGTCAGCACAACCTCTTCCAGGCATGCAACAGCGCAGAGCCAAAAAGAGCCTCCAGGCCATGAAACCCTCATATGTTGTTTTTTGTGATTCATCATTCACCTCTGTGATGTGAGAGCATCTAGTGGCCTGCCAGGGGATACATTTGCCGCCTTCACCCGTCTCCCCTCCAACTGCAGCCTGATCATCCAGGGGGAAACAATACATGCTGGCCTGGCTGGGAACCCCAGGGAAATATCACTATCCAACCTGCAAAGAAGAGAAAAATGTCTGAGGGATGAAAAGAAAGGGGGGCAGGAACATGAGACGAGGCGAGAGGCAGGATGTAAACGGCAGCAAGAGAAGAGAGAGAAACAGTGAGGGTGTGTAAGAAGACAGGAAGGAGGTTCAAGAAGAGAAAGGAAAGGATTGAGGGAGGGGAGAAGGAGAAAGGAAGAGCTGCGTTGGGGAGGCAGAGAAATTGCATTTTGATGGAAGCAAATTGAATCAGCTCTGGAATAGAGGCCTGAGGGCAGAAACAGATTAAGATGGTCATGTCAGCAGTGACTACCACCTGAGTGAGTGAGAGAGAGAGAGATTTGTGTTCACACCACCACAGCAACCTCTCTTTGAGGTGAATGAACAGACACAAACTTAATATAAAATAAGTAGGACATACACCATATGAGACAAATTGTGATTTCTGACTTTAGGCTACACAAATAAAATTTGATTGATTGACAGGAGGAGTGGAGGGTGTTAACACATGAAAAAAAACAAAAAACTATTTGAAAACTGTTTCTCTGCATCCTGTGTCTAAAATTCATCATCTATCAGAAACTCTTTGGAGGCTCAAAACATGTTTCTCTGGACGAGCCTGCGCACGTGACCTGCTCATAATTTAAATGCGGGCATTTTAGAATACTGCAGGAGATATGCTAAACAGCAGATTGCATGTTCCATGTGAATATTGTCAATGTTTTAATGACTCCTCTCTTTCACATGTTGGCGCTGCTGCAGCTCAATTTTGACTTTATTCATGACTTGTGAATAAACTTCACATTGATGTATGTTCAAGTGTTGTTCAAGTAAATTGAAGCTAGTAAAACAAGCTTCATTACCCCATTAATTCATTACCTGGGTGGGAGAGCCTTTCCCTAGAGGGAAAAGTAGTTCAGTCTTAATTTTGGTAGTGTGCAGACATCCACTCAGAGATTCGTGCTGCTATCTGTGTTTCAGATTGGAAAATGCGCCCGAGCACCAGGACACAGCTGCTTTAAAAAAATTCTGTACTGTAAAGCACCTGATAAGTATTCTGCCATGTTGCGCAAAACTAGCAGCAGCAAACTCCATGTAAACAAACACAGCTGATCGTCAGCTGATCTGCGGCTGCACGCCTCGGTGATGTCACCCCAGTGAAAGCCCGGGATGTAAACAAAGCAACTTGGACTCACACTTCAAGTTACTCCAAACCTTAATGGGTGAGTAGATCTACATACCATATGCTGGAAATAAGGACCAGGTTGAAAAAAACCGAACTTCTCTTTTAAGACACAGCCAGTTGACACGGAAGTGTTGATAAGATTGAAAGAATTTAACCCCTAACACCAAAGTAACTTGAAGTTGAGGAAAGCATTGTTCCTGATCCTGACTCATGCATCATCAGCAGCAGCAACAACAACAACAAGCAAAGGTTTTGTTCTTTCAGCTGAGCCCACTGTGCTGCTATATTTAGTTTCCCAGGCCGCTCTGTAAAAACAGAGCTAATGATGAAACTAGGGCAGCTCACAGTGACAGAGCCTCCTGCAACCTGGAGCAAATCTCTCTGAACCCTAAACATAACTAACTAACTAACTGAGTGACTTACTAACATAACCAACTAACTAACTAACTACCAACCAACCAAACGGTCTGCTGCAGAATAAATAGATATGTGGATAGATTTCTGTTTATGATGAAATATTCCTGCATCTGCTTGTATCCACTCCTAAAAATTACAAGAGACGAATAGAACTGAAATTTCATTTCAATTTTTTTAAATTACGTTTTTGGAAATAGCGGTTGCAGCAGATGCTTTTCTCACTAATTGATGGTAGCAAAGATGACTCTTACATTCTCTCACCAACAGCAACAAAAGCATAAGCTCTCATTTTCCCACACTCACAGATACAGAGAATGAGCATTGGTGCTGTTCATCTCTCTTTAGCAAATATATACTAGCTGTAGGTTAACTGACTGATCCCAAGTAGGTGGAGGGATTCATCACCAAGAAAACAGGGTGAATTACAAACTGACAGTGATCAGGACATGGAAAGAAAATGGCAAGAGAAGAAGATCGGGACTCTGGAAGCAGTTTTCCATCGTCTCTCATTATTAAGTGAGAGCTGGGATGGGTCATTAGCCGAGTGTGTCCTGTTGGCTGCGGAGTAGGATGAAGAACACCTGCTGGAAGTGACAGATGGCAGAAATCATATGTCCATGGGGGTGAAGGGTTGATGATTTAGCTCCTGTCTTATTTTAGAATGATTCATCTAAGAAATTGGGAAAATGTAGAGTTTGTCAAAGCAGGTTTTGGTCAGCAAATACACAGATGTTTTAGTTCCTAATACAGTACAAGCAATGTCCACCCAAACCCATCTCAGGTGATATGAAGCCCTTCACCATCCAATGAGGGAGCTGAAGTTAAAGTACTGAACCACGCTAGGGGAAATGGAAATGTGACATTTCTGTTTGTTCCATCAATTTGACAAAGGTTAAATTCAATTCAATTTTATTAATATAGTGCAAAATCATGATATACATTATCCCAAGGCTCTTTACATGTAAGGTTGAGACCTTGAAACTTATAGAGAAACCCAACAGTTCCCACAATGAGCAGCTCTGATGACTCATTAACTGGAAGAAAGAACCAAACTCAATGTGGATGACATCTGACTCGACCGGTTGGTGAGCAGAGAAAAATGGTGAAGAGAGAGGAGAGAGATAGAGAGACGGGGGAGGAGAGACACAGAGAGAGAGAAGAGAGAAAGAGAGAAATGGGAGAGGAGAGACAGGGAGAGAGATAGAGAGGCAGAGAGAGATAGAAGAGAGAGAGAGAGATGGGGAGGAGAGACAGAGAGAGAGAAAAGAGAGAAAGAGAGAGATGGGAGAGGAGAGACAGGGAGAGAGATAGAGAG